AAGAAGAAAACATGCAGCTTTTATGTTAGATAAGGACTAAATTCATTCACCAACCTGCCTGGCCTCCTTCACCCTCCTGGGCCACACAGCTGTGCCCTGTCCCCACAGCTGGTGATCACAGCAGGTGATCACACTTGTGGAAATTTCCACTTTACATCTGTTTCTCCCCCATTAACCTGTAAAAATCTTGAGTGAAGGGATCAGGTATAATTTTCCTTTGTATTCTCAAAGGCTAGCATGGTATTTGCCCTGTTGTAGTTGCAGGGTTAGGAGCAGGACTTAACACATTCCACAACGCTTTAACCTTTTCGCGTGGGCGGGACTTCAAGACACGATTCACTCCTACCACAGCATCATACTGATTGGCGAATGTCTTTTCTATCGCCCTGAATTATCAACCTTCTTAATTTTAATGAAGATTTAATTAATCGTTAATTTCTTTATGGCCATGACAGATTGTTCCCATTACTAGGGCACAAAGGGCTTGGCTTGAAGATCCACTCCCTGGAAGTGTCTGGAGGGAGCATCTGAATTATGTCACAGCTCAACTGACAGTCCTGTATGTTGGTGTGGCATTTGACTATGTATTAATTATGATAGTATTATTCTTTTTATTTATTATTTATTTTTGAGACAGGATCTCACTCTGTTGCCCAGGCTAGAGTACAGTGATATGATCATAGGTCACAGCAGCCTCAAACTCCTGGGCTCGAGGGATCCTCTTGCCTCAACCTCCCAAGTAGCTGGGACTATAGGCATGCGCCACTATACCCAGCTAATTTTTTAAACATTTTTTTGTAGAGACAGGCTCTTACTATGTTGCCTTGCCTGGTCTCGAACTTTTAGCTTCTAGCAATCCTCCTACCTTGGCCTCCCAAAGTGCTGGGATTGCAGGCATGAGCCACTGTGCCTGGCCTTGATAGTATTATTCTTATTTATAGCTCATATTTATACTCATGGGGCAGTTACTACGTGCCAGCAGGCCCTGTGCTCAGACTCTGTGTGCATTACCTCATTCAGTCCTCACTCACTGTACGAGGAGGTAGAGTTGTTACCTTGTCTGACAGGTGGGGCTCGGTAGTCACATGACTCTCACACAGGTAGCAGCTAGTAAGTGGAAGAACTAGAATTTCAATTTGTTCTTCTTGACGTTGAAGCCTGAGGGCTTAACCAGTATGCCATAACGTCTCTCAATTTATGCATTAATACATAACCTCCTTGCAGGTGACTGTATTATTTTCAAAAGGCTAGGTAGCTTGTCAAGCTTATATAGTTGGTAACCAGCAAAGCTGGATTCAAGCTAAAATGGTTAGTACTCATTTTTCTACTCATACTCTTATTGTTCATGTACCAAACACAACAGTGCTTTCAAAATGCCTCAGAATCAAATAAAATCAAATCGTACATTTACTAAACATCACAACAGTAGCTTCAGTAATGCCTCAGAATCCGATAAAATCAAATTTTAAAAGTGGAGAAAGAAAATAAATGTCAATCTAGAATTCCCAACAGAAATATCATTCAAAAATGAAGATTAGATAAAGCCATATTCAGACAATAAAAACTGAAAAATTGTAAGGATAGCATACCTGCTTTAAAAGAAACGGCAAAGGGAGTGCTTCGAGCAGAAAGAAAATGGTCCCAGATGGAAACGGAAATGCAAAAATAAATGAAGAGTACTAGAAAAGGTAAATAAGTAAGTTTATAAGTATCAACTGTCCAAAACAATCATAGGAATGTCTTAGGACATTTAAAATATAGAGAATTAAAATGAATCCCAAAATACTGTAAAAGCCAGAAGAGTAAATGGACTTAAAAGTATTATAAAGTTCTAGCATGATCACAGAAATGGTAGAAACTATCATTTGAATATTACTGCAGTATCTCAAGGGTGCATGCTGAAGTCTTCAGGGTAATTATGAAAAGAATAGTGCAAATGTATAACTAATAAGTTAATAAATAGAAAATAGAATAATCAAAATTTGATCATTTAGTGGTCACTCTTACTTTGGCAGCAGTTCAAAGATGATAGAAAGGAGAGTCAGTTTTACAGAGCAAACGGAGGAAACACTACGTCTCTGTTACAGTGGAATTTTTGGAAGCAGAGGAGACTTTCTAATTGGTCTTCAGGTACTTTGACCACCCTTGGTGGACCTCAGGGCGCTGGCTCCCTGCTGCCTGGCAGAGGAAGTTCCGCCCCATCAAACGGCCTACAAAGCCCACCATGCCTTGGCCCCTGCTCCCTGCACCCCTCTCTGTCGTCTGGGAGCATCAGCTTCCTTTCGTGTCCTCCAAATTTCCACGGTCTCTTCTTCCTCCATCTAGGAGATGCATATACTCCAGTGGAGGATAAAGACACTATCCAATAATTCCAGAAAGCAGTATAAATTTACAAACTGAATTATACTATGAAAAAAAGGAACATATAAGAAAAGAAATTGGCTAGATTAGAGGGTTAGGACAGGCTTTTTGACCAAGTTTGAGGTCTGAATAATTTAATGGCAAACGGGAGGAGAGAGGAGGAGTTGTCCAGACAGTCAGATGGAACAGTATGTGCAAAGGCCCTGAGGCAGGAGAGAGTACAATCAGTATCAGAAATT